CTACTGGAATGAATGAAAAAGAATGAATTGCTCCTCGTATTCAAATTCAGATATGTGTGGATATGGCCTAGTCTGGTCTAATTTTAGTGGATTGACCGCTACACAATGCTCAAATGTGGGCAAGCTCTGAGTTTCCTTCATGTGAGTCCATTTCATTGAAGAAAAAGCTGAAACTGAAACCAAGCTGGGTTTTGCATTGAATAAACAAACCCTTTGCTAGTATTCAAAACAGCAACCTGGATTTGAGGCATGCAAATCTCAGGTGACCTTTTGCTGAACCCATCTTGAATTTTGTATCGGTAGAGGGGAAATAACCAGAAAGAATTGTGCTTTGGAATTTTCTAGGAGGGAAAACTTTATTTACGGTGAAGTAATTCTGCCCTCTGGTGGAACTGTGCAGCAGTGCCTAACTGATATTTGATTAATTTGTGAATGAAAACCCAAAGCCTTTCACTGTGAAAAGAAGGACATGTTCCATGGCCTGGTTGCACGTGCTTTGCATCAGCCATTTTTTTCAGCAGTGTAATTCCTTCAGGTTTGAACTCACCAGCTGGATTCTTAACAGGTTCATCACTGGAATGAAAACAAGACTGGAATGTTTTCTCAAACACAGATTCTTCTAACTTAGGGTGTTTCCAGACAAGGGTTTATGGTGGAATTGGTGCTGCTCATGTGCATGTTTGGTTTTCCCCAGTCCCCTTATGACATCATCAAAATTCCAGCTCATACTTTTTTCCCTTTTCCTTTTTTACATTTAATCTGGCTTCCACTTTAGTGTGGAATATCCAACAAGTAAAATATATATGCAGTGGTACCTCAGGTTACATACACTTCAGGTTACAGACTCCGCTAACCCAGAAATAGTGCTTCAGGTTAATAACTTTGCTTCAGGACAAGAACAGAAATTGTGTTCCAGCAGCGTGGCGGCACCGGGAAGCCCCATTAGCTAAAGTGGTGCTTCAGGTTAAGAACGGACCTCTGGAACGAATTAAGTACTTAACCCGAGGTACCACTGTATGCAAATACTGCTGGTGTAGAAGCTCATTAGCACATTTGGTCTGGTGGTTATTTGTCATAGGTGTGGTGATGTTTCAGTGGATACCATTTAGACTGCACTTCTCCTTCCTAGCCTAGCCATTTTGTTTAAAAAGGTAAAGGTAAAGGACCCCTGACAGTTAAGTCCTGTTGCAGACAACTATGGGGTTGCGGCGCTCATCTCGCTTTACAGGCCAAGAGAGCCGGCATTTGTCCACAGACAGTTTTTCCAGGTCATGTGGCCAGCATGACTAAAGAAGAAGAAGAGTTTGGATTTGATATCCTGTTTTATCACTACCCTAAGGCGTCTCAAAGCAGATAACAAACTCCTTTCCCTTCCTCCCCTACAACAAAGCAGAGCAGTGCACGGAAATGCCATTTACCTTCCCGCCGGAGCGGTACCTATTTATCTACTTGGACTTTTTGGCATGTTTTTGAACTGCTAGGTTGGCAGGAGCAGGGACCGACCAATGGGAGCTCACCCCGTCACGGGGATTCAAACCGCTGATCGGCAAACCCAAGAGGCTCAGTGGTTTAGACCCCTGTGCCACCCGTGTCCCTAGCCATTTTGTTTACAGAATCCCAAATGATATGAGCCTGTGTGTTAAAAAATAAACATAACCAAATAGAAATGGATACACCTCCTTCCTTGGAGGTTTTTAAGCAGAGGTTGGAGGGTCACCTGTCATCAATTCTTTAGCTGAGATTCCTGCATTGCCAGGGTTTGGACTAGATGACTCTTGGGGTCCCTTCCAACTCTACAAGTCTATGATTCTACACACATAACTCTCCATGTTGTCTGTTGTGAAACATGCTAACTAAGGCTGGTAACATTTGCTCTTGTGCTGTTCCTGGGATTTTAATTTTCTGGATGTCCATGGACAGATATGCTGGTGAATGGGGCAGTGAAAACCTCCAGACAACGTTCCATCAAAATCTGTCCGCTGGTGCGGATTGCAAGTGGTAGAATAACAAGGAACAGTCACTAATGAAAAAAAGGGAACTTGTGAAAGCTCATTTGCCAATTGCGTACATGGGAAAATCAAACCTGAACAATCCACTGGCAGTATATCGCCCCTCTCTGGAAGCACCCTTAAAGCAGGTCTCAAATGAATCATCTGTTGTCACTGAGATTACTGTATTTACCATGTAACTGGCTAGACCATATGGACTTCCAAGTTTCCTTTCAACTCTGTATTACCTTGGTTTGAGTGTTTTTTAACAATCCATTAAGGAACAAACTTAAACAGATGGAAAAGGAGTCTCGTTGTTTCATTGATAATACAGTGGTGCCTCGCAAGACGAAATTAATTCGTTCCGCAAGTTTTTTCTTCTTGCGAGTTTTTCGTCTTGCGAAGCACGGTTTCCCATAGGAATGCATTGAAAATCAATTAATGCGTTCCTAGGGAAACCGCTTGCCAGGCTGGCGGTGCGGAGAAGGGCTTTTCTCCCCACCGCAAGCCTTCAGCACAGGTACGGGAACAGAGGGGAAGGCGCGCAGCGCTTTCCCTCTGTTCCCGGGGCTTGCGTGGGAGGAGGGTTTTTCCTCCCCACCGCCAACATTCAGAACAGCATTCTGAATGTTGGCGGTGGGAAGGAAAACCCTTCTCCCACCCCAAGTCTTCAGGACAGCCATCCGAAGGCTGGCGCGGGGAGAAGGTCTCTCCGCCCCCCCCCCACGCCAGGCTTCGGTGCATCCTTCAGAGGCTGCTGCCATAGTCACGCGTCACTTCTCCAGCTGGGAGAGGGTCGCGGGGCTATGGCTTCTTTAGCCCCGCGCGCGCTCTCCCGGCTGGAGAGGTGACGCTCGGCTATGGAGGCTCCTGCCATAGGCGCGCGTCACCTGGGAGAGGGTCGCGGGGGGCTGCTTTAGCCCCGCGCGCGCTCTCCCGGCTGGAGAGGTGACGGGCGCCTATGGAGGCTCCTGCCATAGGCATGCGTCACTTCTCCAGCCGGGAGAGGGTCGCGGGGGGCTGGTTTAGCCCCGCACGCGCTCTCCCGGCTGGAGAGGTGACGGGCGCCTATGGAGGTTCCTGCCATAGGCGCGCGTCACATCTCCAGCCGGGAGAGGGTCGCGGGGGGTTCTTTAGCCCCGCGCGCGCTCTCCCGGTTGGAGAGGTGACGCGCACCTATGGAGGCTCCTGCCATAGGCGCGCGTCACCTGGGAGAGGGTCGCGGGGGGCTGCTTTAGCCCCAAGCGCGCGCTCTCCCAGGTGGAGAGGTGACGCTCGGCTATGGAGGCTCCTGCCATAGGCGCGCGTCACCTGGGAGAGGGTCGCGGGGGGCTGGTTTAGCCCCGCGCGCGCTCTCCCGGCTGGAGAGGTGACGGGCGCCTATGGAGGTTCCTGCCATAGGGGCGCGTCACTTCTCCAGCTGGGAGAGGGTCGCGGGGGGCTGGTTTAGCCCCGCGCGTGCTCTCCCGGCTGGAGAGGTGACGGGCGCCTATGGAGGTTCCTGCCATAGGCGCGCGTCACATCTCCAGCCGGGAGAGGGTCGCGGGGGGTTTCTTTAGCCCCGCGCGCGCTCTCCCGGTTGGAGAGGTGACGCTCGGCTATGGAGGCTCCTGACATAGGCGCGCGTCACCTGGGAGAGGGTCGCGGGGGGCTGCTTTAGCCCTGCGCGCGCTCTCCCAGCTGGATAGGTGACGCGCGCCTATGGAGGCTCCTGCCATAGGCCCGCGTCACCTGGGAGAGGGTCGCGGGGGGCTGCTTTAGCCCCGCGCACGCTCTCGCCGCTGGAGAGGTGACGCTCGGCTATGGAGGCTCCTGCCATAGGCCCGCGTCACCTGGGAGAGGGTCGCGGGGGGCTGCTTTAGCCCCGCGCGCGCTCTCCCGGCTGGAGAGGTGACGCTCGGCTATGGAGGCTCCTGCCATAGGCGCGCGTCACCTCTCCAGCCGGGAGAGGGTCGCGGCAGGCTGCTTTAGCTTCTTTAGCTTCGGAGCATCCTTCCGAAGCCTGGCGGCGGGAAGAGGTCTCTCCGCCCCGCCGCCAGGCTTCGGAGGAGGTCCGAGGACAGTGGGGAAGACGCGCTGCGCTTCCCCGCTGTCCCGGAGATTTCCCTATGGGCTTTCGTCTTGCGAAGCAAGCCCATAGGGAAATTCGTTTTGCGAAGCGCCTCCAAAACGGAAAACCCTTTCGTCTAGCGGGTTTTCCGTCTTGCGAGGCGTTCGTCTTGCGGGGTACCACTGTAATCTCAGCTTCTTTTTGGTGGTCGTGATCTAATTAATTTTCTGTATGAATATGCTATGTACAGGGCATTGTATAGAGACACTTTCATGCCCCTTAGAAAAGGAAGGTGGTGGTGATGATGATGATGATGTTATCTAAGCCTAGTGCTTATGAGATAGTTGAGATACTGAACATGGGCCCAAGCTGGTGGGGACTCACCTGATAAACTACTTCAGTGCGAAGATTTTCATGATCTGCTACACTATTCAGTGTAGCGTATCTATGATGTTCACATGATCAGTTGTTTTTCTAAAGTAACCATCAAGGCCTATCTTGAGCCTCTATTTGCAAAAATAGCATTTTAACATCAGTTCACTAGATGGAAATAGCTGTTAAAGAAGCAGTGGTTTGCTTGCGCTGGGCTAGAATTCGAAGCTTGCTGCATCTTCCATTTATATGTGAATTCTGCCCATGTTGGAGCAAGGACAGACAAGAATATAAATAATGGAATTGCCCAAAATTCATAGAAACATACGCCTAAATTTTGGTATCAATGTGAGAAATTACTTTTCAGTGTTGGCAGCTCCAAGAATGATACGAACGGTGCCTGAAATGTGCCTCCTGAAATTTCAGTGGCCAGTTGTGAAATTTCCTGGCAATAGCTTCCCTTCCCTTTCGAGTTCTAATGCACTGGAATAACAATGGTTATGCAGACTAGCATCTTTAAAAAGCCTGGAACAAACATGTGCAGTGGTTCTAACATTAATTTGTCTTTCTTTCTTTTCTTCTCATTGAAGACATGACTATGGATGAAGTTCGGGAATTTGAACGAGCAACTCAGGAAGCCACCAACAAGAAAATTGGGATCTTCCCTCCTGCAATATCGATCTCTAATGTCTCCCTCCCTTCTTCAATCCGCAGTGCTCCTTCTAGTGCTCCATCTACACCTCTCTCCACAGAGGCGCCTGAATTTCTATCAGTTCCCAAAGACCGGCAACGGAAAAAATCTGCCCCAGAAACTCTCACCCTCCCAGATCCAGACAAAAAAGCTCTCTAAACCCAGCATGTTTTCATGACAAGCCATGACTGAAAGAATAGCATTTGCAAAGCTCATGGTAGATGTTTTGTGTAAACAAAATTTACTGATCTGGAAGTATGACCTTTCCCCCCTCCCCATCAGGCTTGTCCCTTAAACTAGTTAGCTAAGTGCATGCGAGAACATAGTTCATATGCTCCGATTCCTAGACTGCAGCTCTAAGCCATATGACAGATGTTGCTATCAACACAAAATGAAACAAGTTTGCAAAAGCAAAAGTCAGTCTCTACATAGCAACCGTAGTAAACAAAAGATATTCTCATATATAGCATAGCAGTATTTATGACTGGAGATGTTATATGGATTTAATAAAGGTGGCAAGGACATCTTGAGAGAATGAGGGACTATTGAGGGACAGTTTCAAATGACATTTCTCATTTCAAGCCATTATATCTCAATTTATAAAATCCTTTTTACTCTCAGGCCAAGTGCACCTTAAAGTAAACCTTTGAACTGCTATTCACTGAGAAACACTTGAATACCAACAGTAATTATTCAGATTCTTGTTTTACTGAATAAAACTCAGGATTTGGAGCACAGCTAATGCACACTTTAAGCTCTTCAAAACTAAAGAACCAGTGAGCTCTGGTTGTAATTCATTATACTTATTTTTAGACCCTTGGAACTATCTGTGTCTTGCACAAAATTTGTGACTCCTTTATATGGTGTGCTGTTGTATAGCTGATCTGTGTTGGAATTTGGAGTGTCGTTGCAGAGAGCAAGATGGGAACACAAGCAATTGAATAGTTCAGTGATTTATTTCAAGCCCTCAGAATTCATATGAAACCAGACAAAACACCCGATGTAAAATCCTTTTAAACATGAAAGATAACAGTCAGTTTTCTGCTACACTGTGAGCAGGTGTTAAGCTATTCTAGGCTATAAAGCTTCCCATTCTGCCAATGACCGACAAGAATGGTCAGTAACTGATGTGATGGATGCCATTCTAAGGCGGGTTGCCGTCAACCCACTTTCTCCTCCTTAGCTGTGAGAAACAGAAGCCCTATTCAGGTGTCTTGCCTGAACAGGAAATGACCTGTGTTGGGGTGCATGTGACTTGACATACAGCCCAGTGTCCCATCCCCACCCCACTTTTTCCCTGCCTTCCAGTTTTGAAGAGGGAAGGTCTCAAGGAGGATCACTTGAGTACAAGTGGAAGCCAGTTAGAAACCCTGCTCCATCATACAAACAAAGGTAAAGGGGCCCCTGACCATTAGGTCCAGTTGTGGTCGACTCTGGGGTTGCGGCGCTCATCTCACTTTATTGGCCGAGGGAGCCGGCGTACAGCTTCCGGGTAATGTGGCCAGCATGACTAAGCCGCTTCTGGCGAACCAGAGCAGCGCACGGAAACGCCATTTACCTTCCCGCCGGAGCGGTACCTATTTATCTACTTGCACTTTGACGTGCTTCCGAACTGCTAGGTTGGCAGGAGCAGGGACCGAGCAACGGGAGCTCACCCCGTCGCGGGGATTTGAACCACCGACCTTCTGATCGGCAAGTCCTAGGCTCTGTGGTTTAACCCACAGCACCACCCGCGTCCACAAACACAGGTAGACCACACCTATTCTACTCAATGCGAGAAGTTTGGGAATAGTGTGGCAGGATGAGTACATGCAGGGGCAGAGCTAGTGCATGTGCGCCCCCAGTATACATGTTGACATTTCCTGTACAGAAATAATGCCTGAATAAGGCTACATTATTTTAGGGAACAACCTTGAAAAAGAGAGATGTGGAAAACAGCAGGGAAGCAAAGAGAAGAGGCAATCTCTTCAGCTTACTAGCTTCCCTCCCTCCCTCTTTTATATTGTGTGGCAATCCAGTCTGCTTTTTAAAAAGGCTATTTCCAGCCTACCCACGGCCTTGCTTGTCTGTAGCTCCCAACACTTGCCGCAAGAAACAGCAGGGAGGAGGAGAAAGAGTATATGTTAGGGAGAAGGTAAGCTGCTGACTGGTGAAAAGTCTGAAAGCAGGTCACTATAAGGAGACAGTGGGAGGTGGCAGGCAAAATTCTCCTTACCTTAAGGGTAAGATGCCAAAGCTAACATCTGACTGGGGATTTAAGGTAGTATATAGTTGGTTTACTACCATATTGATTGGTGATCACTGTATCATTGTGCCGCCATTGGTTTCTTTAATCAGACTGGAGCTGCCTTTGCCAACAAGGTGCCCTCCAGATGTTTTGTACTAAAACTTGCATCAGCCCAAGCCAGTATAACTATGCTGACTGGAACGAATGGGAATTGTAGTCCAAAACATCTGGAGGGTCACCAGCTTGGCAAAGGCTGGTGAAAGGTAAGCAGTTTAGACAAGGGTTCTTAAGCGTTGTGACGGTGGGCCTCCTCAAGTCTAGACGAAAACAACTGATTATTTTAAGTGGTAGTATGTGGCCTGTTTCATTCCGGCACCAAACTATGGGTAACAATAGCTGGGGATGTGAACAAGGCCATGTAGATTCATTATGCTTTTAAGATTCCCCCAAAATGGGATCCTGGGAAGTAAAAACTCCGTAGGAAGTTCTTCCACCAGAGATAGGGAAGAACACCACCCATGCAGCTCTCTTGAGCTGAAAGTAATTAACAGACAGGAGTATAGGGGACAGATCTATAACAAGGAAGCTGCCCTGCCTAAGTCTGACTGTTGGTCCATCTAGTTTGTCTACAATAGACAATATTGTCTATTACTAATATTGTCTACTGTAACTGCTTTCCAAGGTTTCAGACAGAGGACATTATCCACCCTACCTGCAGGTGCTGGAGATTTAACTGGGATATCGCAAAGCATGTACTCTGCCCCTGAATCTACCACTGCATGCAAAGCAAGTAGATCATGTCTAGTTCGGAGAGGATCTCCCATGCTCAAAATACTGTAACAAGACAATAATATATTGCAATGTAACTGAAATTCTGAAAAGGGAGGAAAAAATCTCTAAATAACTATATCTCTTCACCGAAAGCTAGGAGCAGCCTATAAGCCTTTGGCCTGCTCAAGGGTGTAAGAGGCCCAGTTTCAGCTTTCAATATGTGGACCAACTGGAGATAATGCCTATGACTGCAGCATATTGACTTCAGAGAGGAAAGTGAAATCTCGTACAATTTAGTTAACCTAAACAAGCTAACGGAGATGTCTCCACCCAGTCAGTTTTGGAGCACACAACAGCACACAAAAGTAATGTGATGATGCAACGTAGAGATCTTACAATGCTTCTTAGAGAAGCAAAAAAAAAAAAGTCTGTCAGTTCCTGAGTTGCTTCTTTCATGCTAAATTTCTTTCAGGGAAAAGTAGAATTTACAGGTTCACTCAACAGGGCCTTCCTGGCACCTCTTTCCTACTACAGCCCCTTATGCTCCCCCAAAACTCAACTCCTAAGGGTTGAGGGACCCTGCAGAACAGTGTAGGAGGAGACACAGGACTGCGGCAGGACTGGGAAATCAGCAGGGAGGCCTTTGTGCAAATGGAAGTGCCTTTCTGCTTGCACAACAAACTTTTTGATCCACTCTTAAGAGTATGTCCTTTTTAATACAATAACCATAGAGAATTACAGTACCAGTTGCACATTGCCATACAGCTGGGAAAGAGATGAATTCTTTCTGGCCTGTTAGTAGCATCACCCTCAATCTCAGGAATTAAAGTTGCTTCCCCATATCACAACTTAAATTAGGAGTCCTTTTATTTCCTGACATAATTGTCCCATAATTGTCCTGAGGGCTAAGGATATAATTAATTCCAAAATTGCAATTAATCCTTCACCCTTTTCTTTAGCCGTGTTCTTAGTAACTCACTGTCCAAGCTATACCAGGCCTTGTGAAGTGGTGAATGTGTCATAAACTTGTAGTGAGATTATGCACGTTCTGTCGGAAACAAATGGAAATATAGATCCAGACCTCAGGGTGTTGCTTCTCTTTTAAGTCATTGGAAAAAATAAAATAGTGGATATATTTCTATCGAGCATGGTAGCATGATGTTGCGTGTGGAAAAAGTAGCTGACTTAAATCCCCCCTCCACTTCTAAGTGGCTTGTTTAAATAGTAGATAGTAAGGTGATTTTAGAAGAGTAGCTTCAGTCGTAGAAAAGTGGGGTGGGAGGACAGAACGCAGCTCGTAGGTTTGACAGCTTCAAGAACCTAAGGCCAACGCCACCTACTAGTTCTGAATACACCTAACACTTAGCTTTATGCCTTCTCTCAATTATTGTCCGTTGTTTTTTCATTCTTTCTCAACATCCTGCTGTTCTGTTTGGCTGTTGTGATATCTCCCACCCTCCCTTATTATCAGAAACCTTTTGTATATAAATCTACCCTGAATCAGCATGCGGCTGTAGCTAACAAACAGGTGGCGTTACTGCCAATTGAATTGTGACAAGTTCCGTAGGCCCACAAATAAATGTTGCTATCCTTCTATCTCCTTTTTTTAATGTTCCGCACAAATCAATAGGGCAAGACCATACCCTGCATTGTTGTGTTTGTTTTAACTGTCTCACTCCTCCTGTTGTGTTACTTTGACCTGGGGGGTGCGGAGATGAGGCATTTGTGTAAATGAATTAACATCTCCCAAGAAGATGTTACTTAACAGACCGCATAGTGCATATCTGAAACAGAGAAAGGCAATATTGCATGCAATGGAAAAATACTAATGGAATCTTCTGCTTTACCTCCCCACTCTTCAATACTGTATCTATAAGCGTTCGTTCAGCTTAGATATGCTATTTAAATTTGGTGCTTAATGAAGAAGACACAAGTTTAATTCCGCTGCATGTCTCAATGACGGGCTAGCCCATTCCATTCCTGCCTCCTACTTTCTGTCTTTGTACCAGTGGGGGAGAACAGATACAAATCTGTTCTGGAGAACTGACATCATCCTTACATCTATGCTTTTCATGGGTCATGGCAGACTCCTCAATCATTTTCTGTTTTCCCTCACTGCTTTTGCCTTGATCAGGCTATCAAATATTAAACAACTTTCCATTTTCTCCTTCCATTCCCCCCCCCATGCTATGACAACTGCTTTAAAAAAATATTTCCAGCACAAGAATAATAACTAAATTAAATTTCTAACATATTTTTGTTGCACTAATATGTCTTTTATACAAAAAGAACTTTTCACTGCTAAATTGTCTGAATTACTTTGTACAAATTTGTATATTTTTTAGGTTTGATTGTGAGGAACAGACAGAGCTGTGGGTGTTTATATTATTTGTTTTGTGGAACAATGTGGTTTTAGTTGGCACTTTTAAAAGTGTGGTGCAGCACAGCAAAACTAAAGTGCTATGGCATTGCAATGGTGTCGTTGACCCTGCCTTTTTTGTGACAGGCAAATTGTATACATTGAAGCACTGCTAGGGAGGAAATAAAAAGGAGGTGTGTGTTGCCGCTTTTTCCAAACCAACCTCTCCTACCTGTGATACAGACTCCCAAAACTGTTGACTTAAAAGTTCCAATCTTGACATTGTACTCAGGCAAAATATTAACTGAAGTATGCTTTTTTAAAAGCTACACCTTAAAAGTTCAAGTAAGAGCGGCTCCACTCTTGGTACAAAAAAAATCTAGCATTCCTGCAACAACATGTGGAGAATATACACATTCATCTTTAAAACCTCCCATATTTGTATCAAGAAACCTTCACTGGGCCCTTGTCAGAGTAACTTAAAGGCTATGTTGTTGACACTACCTGTTTGCTGGGAGAAACAATACATGCATATGTTAAATTTGCCAAGTAACAGGTTGAGCTGCCATAAAAGACAACGGCGCCCTTTTGATGAGCAGGCATCGTTCCTGTTAGTTGTACCATTATGCTTGCCTATTTGAGTAAATCTGCAGAAATAAGCAACTTAATCATCTCCAAGGCTTTAATCCTGAGATAATTCACTGCACAACTCCCCGCTGGAGTGGTGCTCCTCCAGAATAGATGTCTTCAATCTGTTTCTCTTAACCAGATTTCTGTCTAGTGGACATTTCATTGAGTAAGAGAATATTTAAGAGGTTTGTTAATATGAGAATGTACAAAAAGTGTTCTGTGGTTTTAATCTGAGCAGTCATAAGCAGAGCAAAAGCTTTTCGCTGATTCCCTCCTCCCAACGCAAACACCACATCCAGTATCCTGGAGATCCCCTGAGCCTCAGAACAGTACTTTCAGACAGTGCTGGAGGCTGGAGAGGAGAAGGTAGGAAGGCCCCATTGAGAATTTTGAATTCTGCTCACACTTTGGATGGTTTGCTGCACCAAAACTTTAAAACATGCTGTCATATAGAATAAATCAAACATATGCACTTTGTAACAGCTACAGCT